CCCTATGGGGGGGGGGGGCGGCACCCGCCCCCCCTCGGCCGGCGAGGGTTAAAATATACAAGAGGCCCTCAGAAGCCAGCGTGGGGCCCTTGTGGAGATCTTAGTGTGGTTATTTAGGGCCCATTAGGTGCTCTAACGAGCCCCATGGGCCCTTCCGAGTTGAAACATGGCTTTCGTTAACCCTCAGCGGTCAAATGGCGCCGCAGGGCCTCTCGGACCCGAGGGTCCCTTTGAACCCGATGGGGGGGGGGGGGGTACGTGTCCTCTTAGACCCCTAGCTACGCCACTGCTTCATATGCATCATGTCAGGATTTTAGGCTCGCCCCCCCCCCCCAACTTGAAAATCGTTCCCGGGCCCCTGACAAAGCCGTAACAGCCGCCCCTCTCACATACTTCACCTGGCATGGAAATCAGGCATGTGCATGGATCCGAGCGATGGATCTATGATCTCAGTGGATCTCAAAGCAAACTGCAGGTTAGGATCTATGATCTCATCGGATCCTGCGTGAAAATGTTATCTGGGGTCTATGATCTCGTACGATCTGACGATAAACCAAGAACATGGATCTATGATTTGAGTGGATCCCACCATGCACAACATTTAAAACCATGTTTTTAAGGGTTTCTATACCAATAAGTGCTACAAAACTGGATTATGACGTGCAATCACATAAAATCACTAAAACAGAACGTTTGTGAGTTGCATTAAGTGTTTTTTGGGGGGGGGATTTCTATGTTGGCAAAAAATAAGTGAGGATCTATGATCTCAATGGATCTCAAGCAAAACATTAAACTCGGATCTGTGATCCCTACGGATCTATCTATAAATTAGAAAGCTGGATCTATGATCCAATCGGATCCGAGATCAGGATCCGTGGTCTCGGGGCCATGCACATTGCACATGTCTGATGGATATGAACTGCTTCTTTTGACCCCAAGACCAATTCCGCCGGTAGCAAAAAGAAAACACCGAAGCGGATTAGTTTAGATTAGTTTTTGGACTTTGGAGGACATTTTTTGGGATAAGTATACCCCCCCCCCCCCCAGCGTCCAAGACCGCCTTTCTGGATCCGCCAGTGCAAGTCACATGCAGAAACATTCATCAGATTGATCATATTCAATATAGCGAATGTAGCCGAAAGCGAAAAGATAATGCTTTGGCCTTTGGGTTTCAAATTTCAATACAATATAGTAGTGTAGTTAGGTACATACATGTAGACATTCTGTTAGTTGTTAGTTCCATATTTGACCCTCCACCATAGCGAAGGACAGAGTACATTTATAACCAGCAGTGCGTATCACGGTACGGATTTTCCAATGTCTCGGCCATTGTGAAATCGTTTGACTGTTCCACATGAACACACACCTAATCGAGCGGCGACCGCGTCAGCAGTTCAGTCACAGCGGTTCTGACCACTTTGTCACCGGCATTAGCACCATGGTTAGAGCTATAGGGTGCAGTGGTCAATGGTTGTGGAAAATTGGATCGAACGGGCCTCTCAAGTGCCGATATACCTACGCACCGATTCGCAGTAATCAACTATTTCGAGTCCACGCAGTCAACATTGCACCTTCAGCTCAACGTGAAAAGCAACAATGGCATTGAGATGCAACGCATACTCTTTGCGAACTGTTTTATCACATTTATATTTTGGTTTTCTTTCCTTTTACTAATTCTATTTCCGTAGATATAAACTCAGTGATAATTCAGGCCCTTTCCGTGCCATTTCCGACAAGGTGTTAGACGGACGGATGGGCTATCCCGGAGCACACGGAAGCCATCTGGCACAGTCTCTAAGTGAAAACAGGCTCCGTGATGACTGATCAATAACAGAAAGCTTGTTTTCAATTGTTAAAATACTTATAGCTATATCACCTCAATCATAGTGACAGATGCACTTATCATGAGATCGGTTGGGCCAAACAACATGCACCTAATTTACACTTTCACACTTTCAGATTCGATGGGTTGAAAAACGCTTCAATCCATCAAAAAAATCGTACAAAAAAAAACAGATACCTAATCAACGGACGAAAACTGATATCAACGTCTTAGCCTAGCACAGGCACCAGCGGATCCAAGGGGGGACATTTGGGGCAAATGCCCCCTCGCAGCGCCCGAAACCGATCCAAGTTTGTCGTTTTTCCAGAACAGAAAGAAAGCTAAACAACTTTTATAAGAAGAATTGGTTTTAAACTTTATAGCAGAAACGCATGCGGGAAGCCGTGTATGGTCGGACAGGATGACGAGGTATTAAAAGCCGGTATTTCCAGCATCAACATGCCAAGTATCAGCATCAGCATCAAAATATGAGCCTGCATATGTGCAAACAAACTAGACCTTAGAGCTAGTTAGCAGACTCGGTAACCTCAGTCCCTGCCCCGCCGTGAGGCCGGTCCGCCACGAGCATCACGCCGTGACGTGCCGCAGTCACGTCAAAAGTGACGCGCGTCACACCACCACACGAATCGCCGCACGAACGGACGGGGATATGTCCGCGCCACCGGAGACGGGCCAGAGGTCAGCGCATGACTGCCGCCAACACGTATGATTGAAGGAGGGGGAGTTTCAGGGTCTGTTCCTCGCCCTCCGCGCCATGACCTTCGAGGAACGACAGCAGAAGGTCGCGGAAGGCAGCCGTGCAAATCAAAATAACCAATAACTTATGCTGTGTCTATGACCTAACTGATTAATGAGTCGTTTCGACTGAAATGGCAGGCTGGCCGGTTCCTGCTCGCAGGCTTTGCACGTCAGCCATGGCCCTTTTTATATTCCTTCGGTATCTTTGCAATTTCCAGAGTGATGTTTTTTTTTAAATAATTGAGGCGACGCGTTCCCCTCGTGGCCTCGCAGGAGATCGCCCATCCGATGGTGGAGGACGAGAAACTGTCTAGGAGGAAGTCCAGGTTCACTATAAGCTGACGGCAATGGGAGAAACGGATCGTAAAAACCAGAACCGTCAACGGAACTATGCATATGTGAGAAAACCCACGTATTGCCGACCACATTTTCACATGGAGTGACACTACATGCTTTACGGTCTGACGACTGACAGCGTAGACGCAGCATGAGTGGTAGGTCCGCAGTCTGCACTTAGCAAGCTTACGCAAAGACCGCAAGCTACAAATCAAGTTGCGGGTAGCATAGACATTGGTCCGCTCAATTAGGCCGCAGTTTTGATTACATACATAACTGAAATAATAGCGTTAAAGCGAGTGACAACTCACTGCACGCCAGTGTTGGGATTTTCCATCATTGCTAGCCGACCTCGGCTCAAAGTGAGCCGTCTGTTCTGCTCATGGCGTCGCGTCGGTTCGAAGGGTGTCACCGCATCACGCGGTCCCATGGGTGACACCGACCGGCTAGTCGCACTCCCGTGTCACCAGTGACACTGACTGGCGAGTCACACCGGGCCATTAGCGACGTGCCGCGAATCGGGGACGGTTTCGCTCACTTCTGGCCAGATCACGCTGAGCTAGCAGACGAGTTTCGACACTGCAGGCGCGGGCACTGGCCTCAGTATATCCGGGAGCCAGTTATACGCCGCCATCAGCACAGGAACCGCTATAAGGCGGCACCCGTCCGCGGGAGAAATAAGTGGGCGGCAGGCTGCAGGGTCAGCTTTGGTGCTCGAGGGGTGGGGGAGGGAAGGGGAATGGGGCGAGAAGGTGTGTAATGGAGTCATGATTCAGGCGCCCGGTTAGGCGCCTCGGGCATTCCCTTCACTGACACGGCGCGGGCTGAATAGTACTGATCCAGTCCAGGTGCGTCACCGGAAAATTGAGCCAAAGCGCTAATGCACCGCGGTCCCGGAAAACTCGCCAAGTTAATTGGATTCAATTACTGCCACGTGATGTGTGGACTCTAGTCGTTAAGCTGACGGCTTCCATGCATTCGTTGACAGGTATGTTTTAGTACTAGCATTTAAGAAGGTTTATAGGCATATAGATATTTGCGCATTTATATATTAAATGGAATCTCAGACACGCTTGCCAGTACCTAAGCATTTGATAGGTAGCATGCCAAGCCAAGTTAAAGGTAAATAACTGATGTGTGATCATACAAATGGGTAACCCGTCACTAGAAAGTACCTAATTAGGCAGAACAAAATTCATAAACATCCACGTGTGGTGGGAATTAAAACAGCGCTTGTTAATTTCATCGCCTTATCACCTATTCAGGAAAAGACGATAGACTTTACTTCGCATTTGTATAAACATTGCCAAACGTAGATATCACACTGCACACGTCACTATGTAAGCGGCAGGCTTCAGTGCTTTCTTGACGGACGGTTATAATGTGAGAGGTGTTGCAAATTCACATGACATATAACTAATCTAATAAATAGACAGAACTATGATGTTTAACTGACCGTAACGGTGAAAGTCACCGGTGAAATTAATCCAACCCGCAGCTCGTGAAGCTCCAGCCCTGCACATCCCGCCACCAAATGCTGCGCCCAAATCACGTGTCACTTCACACCGTTCATCAGGGGCGCTATCGGCTAATTGCTCAGACTCATTACCCCAGAACCTCAGTTCAAAGAACCACCGGCGGAAATGATATCGACTCAGTGATCGGCGAGAGCGCAACGCACGTCATCTAAGGCGGACCGCGCCCTGACCGGGTGCCGAGTCACCTGCAGTGAACGCTGCCTATTCCCCGGCTCACGGTATACGCCCGCAGGCGGAGGGGGACTTTCCCTTCTTCCGGGACCGTGCGCGCCGCCGGGCTCAGTCGTCATTGGGCGCACGGTGCGTTGTCCGCCCTCTGCGGCCGTCGCATATCACGACACAGCCGAGGCCCGGGGCGTGACCGCGGGCACTACGGGCCACCTGCGCTCGTGGTAGGTCACCACGAGGACGGCGGGGGCCGGCTCACGGCACGGGCCGGGGCACGAGCCGAGGGGTCCGGTACAGGGCGTGGTCCCGCCGGGGTCGCCGCCGGTGTCCGGCCGCGCCGCCGAGAGGGAGGGGTCGGACTGCCGGCCGCGACGCGACGACGGCGGCGCGCCGGCTCGGACAGCGGCGCAGAAGGCAGTGGGAAGCGACGGGCGGCGGGCGCGGAACTGAGCACTGCTGGTGACACATCGACCGACACGCGCCGCAGCCATGAGTGCGTGGAGCCAGACTGTGCTGGTGAGTAGGGACATCCGGTCTGGGGTTACCAGGGGACCGGTCCGGCCGTCCGCCGGGCGACTGTCGTTCTGTCATGTCGGTTCGTGTGTGTCCCGATCGGAATGCCCGCGCCGTGTGCACCGGTCACGCGATGGTGTCCACTCGTACTCAGTAGTGATGTAATCGCGTATTCACTGAGCGCGTCATGCTACGGCAGTTACAACCCTAAGCACTCTTCTATTTTCGACCCCGTGTTGACAGAGTTCGCAAACATATTTTTCCGTGACGTTGAACTCGTTCACGTCTCAGCAAGACAGACATGATGCTCAGAAGTTATGCTGGCAGGACTCTGGTTTAGGGGCTGATGACTTAAATGATAGGTATCGTAGCCACTAATGAGGGTTCTAAGGGGAGAGCTCACCTTGGGGATCGTCTTAGCCGGTAAAGCGAACCGAACAGCGAACTGGCAGCTGAGGTACACTCGGGGGCAGATTGATGTTCTACAACTCTTTAACCACCGGGTTCCTATGGCTCAGCATTGGAAGCAGCCGCCTGGTACCGGTAGACCGTGCCGCTTCACTTACTTGTCAAGCAGCACAGCCTACCCACCCGTATGACACCGGTCTGGGTCGGTGGCTGGAAGGTGATTTGGGCCGCCTGTGACGTCAGCGCAGCGGTGAGGGCCGAGCCCGGAGGCATGGCTCGGGTCGGCCCGGCGCGGCGGCTGGCGAGGGCTGGGGAGTGAGGTGGGGTGGGAGCACGGACATCGCGCGGCTGAGCGAGTGTAGTTAACTTTCGCGTCTCAAGGCGCCAATTATTCTACCTAACAATTGTGCTAAAGCAGTTGTTAAAATGTCCTATCCCCAAGACAGCGCCTATCATCATACTTGCCATGCACATTGCACATTACGACACACTTAAGCGTGGCAATGGGACAGCCGATAGAACTTATGTCACTCGTGCATCGAGGTGCGGAGCTATATTTTGTATAACATATTAGCATTAACCCTCGCATGTGTGCGGCGTTTGCCAGCTTCTAATGTGTAGGGGGGGGGGTCGGTTGGACCCCCCCCCTTGCCGTTTGGCCCCTGATCGAGCTAGAGCTTCGCGGAAAAAACGAGCGTGTTGCCCGTGACGAGAGGAAGCCGATGATACCCAATTTTAAGGTCCTAGGTCATTGGTTGACCTTCCAGGTCAGGTCAATGACCCAAAGTCGGGAAAATCGGGACCTGTTAGAAAGTCGTTAAGTGTGGCTGCTAAGGGGTTTTTCGGGGTGCTGATCACGAATATCGTGTTAGTTTTGATCACAGATGATGTCTTGAAGCATTTAGACCAGGTCGGGTCAGGTCAGGTCAGGTCAACCAGTAGGCGTCGTGACGGGTATTCGTAGTACGTGTCAACCGCCTCTGACAGCTTCGTAACATGCTACGAAGTCACCAAAACTACTTCGTAAATGTTCAAATGGTTGCTAAATTCGAATTCAGCTCCAAAAACTAGCCTAGAAACATGTAAAACTCGAAAAAGTGACCAGAGGTCACCCGAGGTCACCAAAGGTCAATGACCTGACCTGACCTTCATGTGACCTTGACACACACGGGAGTAACATCAAATCACATGTTTGAACGTTTGAAACCACGAAAAGCTTGCAAACACGCGGCTAGTGCGAGCCGACATACGCGAAATCGCGATTCCGGCCAAACATGGTCTCGGAAAAGAGGTCACAGGTCAAAGGTCATTTGGGTCAGGGTCATGAAATTTTCAGGGTAGGTGTCAAATTGATCAATGCGAGGGTACTGAAAGTTTCGTCGCGATCGGCCGCTTTTTACGCGAGTTATTCGCGACAAACCATGGGGGGTCCATCCGACCCCCCCCCCCTACACATGCGAGGGTTAAGGCCTTGATTGAGCAAATTGGTGTCTATTGTTTCGCACGGTAATCGTCCAGAGACGTGGGAACTGGGGGTTATGAGTAGTGCCGCAGCCAACGCCCCAATTTAAAGCGAATATTACTGTTGCTCTAATATGTGGTCGCAGCCCCCAATAGCAAACCGTTCCAACTAGGAGCCAAAAAGTCGGCCATTCAGGGGGGTTCGAACCGGGCTTCTCCCACCGGCCAATTCACGACACAAGCGTTCATCCACTGAGCTACTGAGAATGGTCCCCATCTGCTCAAAACAAAATGACATTCACCCGCTGACCGCCAATGACAGTATTGTGACATTTGATCGCGTTTGACCGCGGCGGGTGGTCGCTGGTTTCGGCAGCTCAGTGGATACACGCTAACGTAGTAGGGTGAAGGGTTGGAGAAACCCGGTTCGAACCGTCCCAGGTGCGCGACTTATTTGTTCCTAGATGGAACGGTTTGCTATTGGTGGCTGCGACCACACATTAGAGGAACAGTAAGAGTTGCTTAAAGTTGGGACGCCGCGCTATCCAAAAACCCCAGTTCCCACGTCTCTGGACGATTGCTGTGCGAAATAATAGACACCAATGAGCTCAATCAAGGCCTTACTTAATCATACTTATCTGTTAAAAACAATGTAGCTCCGCAACTCGATGCGCGTGTGATATAAATTCTATCGGCTGTCCCAATGCCACGTTTAAGTGTGCCGTAATGTGCATGGCAAGTATGATGATAGGCGCTGTCTTGGGGATAGGACATTTTAACAACTGCTTTAGCACAATTGTTAGGTAGAATAATTGGCGCCTTGAGACGCGAAAGTTAACTACACTCGCTCAGCCCCGCGATGGTCCGTGCTCCCACCCCACCTCACTCCCCAGCCCTCGCCAGCCGCCGTGCCGCGCCGACCCGAGCCATGCCTCCGGGCTCGGCCCTCACCGCTGCGCTGACGTCACAGGCGGCCCACATTGCCTTCCAGCCACCGACCCAGACCGGTGGCATACGGTGTGGGTAGGCTGTGCCGCTTGACAAGTAAGTGAAGCGGCACAGTCTACCGGTACCAGGCGGCTGCTGCCAATGGCAATGCTGATCCATAGGAACCCGGTGGATAAAGAGTTGTAGAACATCAATCTGCCCCCGAGTGTACCCATTCTCATTTGTATGTCTTGGATTAACGCGTCTCATTGATTTAATCATTGTTTTTAGTTATAAATTCTAATCGTCCCTGCCAGGCAGTACCCAGTAGCCACATGTATTAACTGCATGTTGTTACTTAGCTACATAATTGTAATGAACATTAGCTGTGTTTAAAAAGCATAAATCGTTTTCATGGCAAGGAGCGAGAGCGACACAGGCAAGTATAAAGCTGAATCTTCAGCTCGGTTATGATGTCCAAGCTCTTCTAAGGAAACTTGACTGATCAAACATTGCTATGAGCCCGAATGCTAAGAAAACTAAAAGGAACGTTGCATGAGTTTCCTCCTGTCATGGACGCATGTTTACCTGTTTGTCGCAGGGAGCAAACACGTCAAATGTTCGAACAATCGTCAAAGAAGCTACCTTATCCTCGAGACGTCACATGAGTCGTGACACTAACGTAACAGCCAGCCGCATCCACCGAACTTGAACTTTTCCTTTCTTACGCTCACTGGTTCTATACGGCGCAGACAGGCAAAAGTGGATACACGGTTGATATATCAATTATCACGCAAGTTAGCAAAACCAACGATTTCAACGTTGTTATTTTAATTACATAAAAAGTTAAAAAATCAAATGCTTTTGCCTCATATCAAAATTGCACCTCTACAGACTACATCAATAGTGATGTCATCCCCCACCCGATACCAGAGTCCTGCAAAATCAAATATGGAGTTGGTGAGTGCAAAATTTAATACATCGCTATTGATTTACAAATACCGGAACATAACACAAAGTGACGATACACACAACGTTCTGTAGTTTTGTATCGTTGTTAGCAAATGCGTATGCTAAGAAAATGTTTTTTTTTCAATTTATTGAAGATTGGCACATGCCCCAATATGACTGATAATAGTCAAGCTCGGCGCACGATAGGTAGGTACGTATTTCAGTGGTTATATCTGAAGAGGAAGCTTTATGGCTCAGGAACATTTCTAGCATGAATCAGCCATTTTGCTGATTTAAAGACAAAATTTTACATAATCATAAACCGCGCGAAACGCGTTCTGCACCATCGAACCGTCATAAGACACGATGACGGGCAGAGCGGGCGGCGTTTTGTTATTGTTCAGTGAAATGTGTCGCCCAGTACCGCCACACAGCAGGTAGCGAATATTGGGCTTCCAATGTCATTTCCGCTTGCTCTGGTCGAATGGTCGTCTGGGTATTTCATGGGCGAAGGTCAGGGACTAACATGCTGTGGTTAACTTATGGATATAGTGTTGAAAAATTGCGCCCCTTTTGAATTGTCGAGAAAAGGTAGTACAAGTATAAGACCTGAGGTGTTCATTAGTGTTTTTAACGTTTGTGTTTTGCACACGTTTCCGGAAAATGTACATTTCAACGCTGCTGTAACCAGCAGCCAAATACCGATGTTACAAAGTTATGATGATTAGGGAAGCAATAGAAGCGATGTCATCAGTTGTTGATGGCAGGAGCTAGATCGGTCAATATTCATGCCCACTAAAATGAAGGAGCTGTTAAATGTCGTGGCATGGTGACTAGTATGAATGAATATCAAAGCTGTTTATTCAAGAACCCGACATTAAGTAGAGTAGCTGATTCTTCTGAAAAGTCACGCGTGTCCGCATGAGAGAGTATGGTGCACATGAGGGGGTCAGGAAGCTGCAGGGATAAAGAGAACTATTTATATTAACGACTTCGAGAGGACAGGATACCTTTAGGTACAGTCCACAGCAGAAGTAATGTGGGGTTTCAGTCATGGGTATGTTCTGCTTCTGAAGCTTAGGAACGATTAGCCAGACTACAATGAAACTTCGAATGTAGCTTATATGTATCGTCACCCTTGCAGCTGCAATTTTAGCTATTGACATCTTCTTTTCGATCACTCCGCATTAAGCAATCGCCAGTCAAAGCCAATCGTTGAGATTGGTAAAACCCTACATTACTTTAGCCGTGGGCTG